GTAACTCCATTCACCACAACTCTCTGGGCCCGGCCGTCCAGCCAGTTTTTGACCCAGCGCAGAGTACACCTGTCTAAGCCGTGAGCCGCCAGCTTCTCTAGGAGAATGCTGTGGGAGACGATGTCAAAGGCCTTGCTGAAGTCCAGGTAGACCACATCCACAGCCTTTCCCTCATCCACTAGGCGGGTCACCTGGTCATAGAAGGAGATCAGGTCATAGAAGGAGATCATTCTTCTATGAGCTGACAGAATATTAAAGAATTGAGAGTCTATTTAAAATCAGGTTATCATCTTCCTACTGTTAATTAATCAAAATATGAAGTCAATGACCATAACACCTTTGCCACAATAAAAACAAAAGCCCACAAATCATATAACGTATGAGCTTGAATACTTTTTAACTAAAATAACTAGGGCAAACTACAATGTTCATTCCTCTTTAGGACATCTCGAAAGGAAAGACAGGTTGATCTTATTACCTGGAAGGGTGATTTTAACTCTGGTGGTGCTCTTGTAAATAAGAACTGAAGAATAATGCTGAATGGAATAACCTCTCCCAGAGCTGGGCTACTGGCAATATGCTCACTGGTCTGGAACAGCAGCGGTCTGGAAAAATGTAACAATATACTTGTGAAAGGAAGAAAAAGCTTATCTTAGAATCACAGAATCATAGAATAGTTTGGGTTGGAAGGGACCTCTAAAGGTCATCTAGTCCAACCCCCCTGCCATAGGCAGGGACATCTTCAACTAGATCAGGTTGCTCAGAGCCCTGTCCACATTAGAAAAATGCCTATATGGTGGCAATAGTTTGTTAGGATAGAATCTCCTATTTTTTTTCCACTAGTCTGCATCTTAGGTTTTCAACACAGGTTCAATTTGTAAAAATTTACACAAGTTGCCTATTGTAATTAAACAACATAGGACTGTAAATTTTATATTTCAGTGAAAACACTTAAGGTAACTATAGAACTCACTGTCATACAGAAGCTGCACTGAAAGCAACACAAAAAAAGTACAATTTGGCCAACATTTGCATGACAAAGATTGTTAAATCATAGTTATACTCTGCATAAAATTTAAAAGAACTTTAATCTATTTCTAATTTGCAGGTGGGTGTCACCAAAATAGCTCTCAGTTCAATCAGATCTAACACGAGGTAATAAATCAGTTTTGAAATACAGTTTGGTCACACTGCCAATTGCTAGTTCCTGCGACTGCAACTCACCTGAATGACCTCAGCTGTCTGTAAGATTTTCCTAGGTCAGAGACTCGCCGACACAGCGGTGCTACTGCTAACTCCATCTATAAAAACAAACATTTTAATTTGAATTAGATGATTGACCCAGAATATGAAACTTGGTATTGAAGTAGCCTGCCTTTAAGCAATAATCCAAGTATTGAAGTAGCCTGCCTTTAAGCAATAACTTGCTTACTTGCAGACCAAGTTACTGACTTCTCACTGGTGGCTGAATTTGAGGCAATAAGCTATCCTTTCCTTTCTTACTCCATTGCCCAAGCCAAGACTTTTGCCTTATTCTTGGCAACACAGTAAGCATCCCATGACAAACGATAGTGATAGCCTCTAGTTAAGAACATAAGGGGTCTTGTGAGCTTTCTGAGACTGAAGCTTTGTTTCTCACAGCAGGTTTATTTTGTTGGTGATGAGTTTCCTGATGAAACACTTACGTCAATACCCCAAAAATCTGACTGCAGCCTGGGAAGAAAGCAAATCTAGGCAGGTCTCCACAAACCACTCCTAAAGCAGTAAAAATGCGTACCCATTTCAGCTGGGCACCCTTTCCTTTGGCAAAGGACAAGGTTAAAGTGATTCTTTCCCAAACACTCGGCCCCAAATTCTGGGGCACAAAACCTAAGCAGATTAGATAGAAGACAGCTGGGACCTACTGCCACACGGTCATATGGAATCAAAGGCAAAAAAGCATCAGTAAGAGCATTATTTTCATACTTATTTTCATACTGTTTGGTCTCTGAGTTGCAGCAGCCATCTTTAAAAACAAACAATTTTTAAACACTGCCTGTTTTTTAAGCACTGGAGTTCACCTGCCTTTCCGAACAAAAGCCATGCTCCACTTGGGTTTTTATATCATTCACATGAGACTGAATTCTGCCACAGGCTCTTCATTAACAGTGAGGACACAGAAGTGAGAAAGAGTAATTTCACTTCCAGATCCCAGACTGAACATGAACATTACATGGCAAAGTTTCAGTTAATATGCACACTAATACAAACACCACCAGTCAAAAAACTCCATAGGTAAAGTAATTTTAGCCAGATATGGATTAAGTCTGTATTTTTTGCGTTCCTGAAGTGTCAGTCAACAGAGGGATGCAAGCTTTATTCTCCACGTACGTTTTTTAAAATCCCCAACTTGAAAGACTATTCAGACTTTGATTTCCACATAATGTACAATTAAGGTAAGTTTCAAAGGACGAAAGCTAAAATAAGTAACAAGATCAAAACCACCATACAATAAGCTTCCCATTTAAGTAACATTGCTGAATGAATTTCAAAGCGTTTGTGATTAAGACACTATTTAAAGGGAAGTCTTTAATACTATTATTTTTTCCCGCTGTAGCATTTCCTCAGACAGAGCTGGCTGCTGGGCCACCGGCTTCACCAAGAACATTTAACTATGCAGGGGTTCCAGCATAAACAAGAAAGATGGTGTGGCAAACTATGATGCCATAGTTCATCTAAAACCAGAAGAAATTACATTAGCAATTAATGTAAATCAAGGCCATATACTTCAGGCACCCATCTTAAAAAGCAGGTGCCAGGATGGGAGTCATCTCACCTACTTCTCGACATCTACAGGTTCTCTTCATACTCAGTGGAGAGAAACAGCCACTCCTGGGGTGTGATGCATCCTTCCCCGAGGTAGACATCCAAAATAGGTCAGGTAGGTCATGTTGTAGGAGTATCCACCTACATGACACTCAGTCAGACAAAGCTGGGAAAGCCAGAGGGCTTAACCCAGGCACCTACACTTTCTTTACGGACAAGGAGAGGAGGGCACCTCTGAAAGGCGATGGGCAAAGCCCCACAGAGCTAGCCTACAGGCAGTGCAAAGCCGCTCCCCGAGCCTAGGAACCTTGGAGTACATGCCCCACATCAAGCACTTCCAGGCCGCTTGAAATCTGCGTTTTATATTAAGCAGAAATTCGCAGAAACAGAAAGTGAATAAAAATCCAGAAAGCGGAAATAAGGATCTTTGTCTTCTGCTTTCAGATGAATGCTCCAGCCCTGGGTAACAGCCTGGCTCCCTCCTGCCTGCTGCCCTTCTTACCCCAAATCTTCTACTCTAGGCTATGAACTGGCCCCTTCTCTACAGCTGGGTGGGATCCCTGCCCTGTCCCCCTGTAACCCTCGCAGCCTGAGGGCTAGGTCACCTCTCCTGCATGCAGGCGCAAGGGGTACCTGTTTCTTGGCCTGAAGAGCACGTACAACTCAGCTCTGCAGTTCCTGAGCAAGCACGCTATCCACCAGACAGTGCAAAACGCATGCAAATCGTTTTTGCATGCCACCATCCCCACGCTTGAGGAGGAGCTGTCAGCTGCTGTGCTGTGTGCTGAATTTGCCGGCACAAGGGAGCGAGGTTGAGGGCGCACTCCCAGGACAGGCAGGTTCTCTCTGGGGATTTCTGCAGGGAGGTGCTCCAACTCCAAACTGCGATGAAGCTTAGAGCAAGATCAGCATGTTGTTCCCCCAGATCCCCTGCAATGCTTCTGAGCATGTATGGGAGCCAAGAGGCCGGTCTGCTACACAGGTTCATAAGCAAGTAGCCAAAAAGAGGAGCTAATTAAGTAGACTTTGCTGCATCATGATACAAGAACCCTACAGACCCTGAAAAACAAATGGGAGCAAGACTCTGATTTCTCCAGAGCTTCTTTTTGGGCATCAGTATTGGCTAGGGGCAGCTGGAAGTAACTAATATCCTGCTGGAGCTGGTGTCCCAGCTCTGGTGGGAGCCGTGGGCTTGTAGCTGTGAAGAACCAGGGAGAAGATAATTCTTTTAAGTGCTTTAGAGAATTTGGTAACAGGCAACAAACTGCCAGTCTGACTTGTGCAAACAGAGATGCATGGATTAAACTGTACTCATGAGGGGAAAGAAATCCCAGTATAGCAAAATATAATTTTGCTTAATAAGTTTTAAACTACTGTTTCACTCCTGAAACATAATATGATGTAATGAGATGTAAGTGAAACTTTCTACAGCTTAACCAGTTCCTTATTAAAACAAATTTAAATGATTTCTCTTGAACATACTTGGCAGTTTCCATAAATCAACGTTTTTAGTCTTAAGTACTAAAGAATAAAATTTACTTTGGAAAATTCTATTACTTCATCTTCAACCTTTATTCACTGTAGGAAATTATTAGTATTGCTAGAACTAGATAGATTTAATGTCAGCAGATGGTTGATTCGTGAAGTACTAGTTGCCAAAGAAAAAAATTGGTTTTAAGCTTTGCAGCATCCTATACCATCTCAAATTGACTCATGAAGAGTGGGAATGAGTGAAAACTAATGTGGTAAAAATGTACATAAACCACAGAAACTTTTTTTCTTAATTTACAACACTAGTTTGCTCTGTGTTATAACCCAATCTCTCCAATAAAAACTATGCTTCACATAATAACTAAGATTGTTTTCTTCACTTGAATTTTAGCTATTTGTCTGAGCCCAATGATGTAGTGAGATGCTACAGCATCTTTCTGCTGTTACATTCATTTCTGCAGGCCCACTGAGCGGCGTTTTGTGTTTTTGTGAGCATCGTGCCGGCTGGCACCACTGGCCTGGGAGCGAGTGCCAGGGAGGAATCATTCGGCTGGAACAGCTGCTGTTTCTAAGGTGCTGGAATTGGGCAGAGGATTGAGCATACATCACTTCTTGGTTTTGCTACCTGTCATCACCTGAAGCTGCATCAACTGTTGATTCATGCAGCATGTTTACACAGTAGCAGCTTTTGCTATGATATACAGCTATAGTTTCCAAGCATTTTGGTGAGCTTTTACAGGTCGGGTGATGTTTTTGGCTGTCTGCAAGCCAGTTATTTGGATTGCATGTGCAAGGCCTTTCATATAGCCATGTCCTATGGACTTTACATATGAAAGGGTAATCAGTCTTTTTTGTTTCTTTTCCAAATTTCTGTCCCAGAACTGCAAATTTGAAAATTCAGATATCCAGGTTAAATTCAGTGATAAATCAGGTGTCCAAGCAGTAATTTGCAACCACAGAGGCTTGATCAACTAACGTGAGATAATCATTAACACAGGATCCAAGAGAAGCAGTAGGAAGAGCATGTGCCTGCTGAGAAGGAAGGGGCAGCTAGAACAGGAGAAGGCCTAATGACTCTGCCTCATTTCTTCTAACTTTGTTCAAAACCCATTGCTTTTCCATGATTTATTCATATTATTTTGCTATGCTTCACAGAACACAGTGGCAGACCCCGGCCCAACATATGCTGCTTCTCAATGATTCTTGCTCTCTAAGCTCAAAAAGGCTATATTATCTTTTCTTCTCATATGACCCTGCCATAGCCCATGGCTAGGTGGTCAATTATCTGTTGAACTATTCACTGGCTAGCCATATTGTAAAAAAAACATCACATGGCTGGCTTCTCTAATTGGATTATGTTCAGCAACCCAAGGGTGAAGTTAATACGTAGTCTAGATACAGATAATGCATATATATTGAAGAGCGCTTTGAAAAACCCTATAGTGAAGTTATTGTTTAGTGCCTAGTGCCTAGTGGTATTTTCAAGATCTCTCATTACTAAACAGCTGTTTTTTCAGCTGGAAAATCTTAACATTAAATTTTTAGCAATTACATTTCCTCCTGGCCAAGATGAATTCCCAGTTTTTAAATGTTAACTCAAAATGCTTTTTTTTAGCCATTCACCGGGAGAGAATGCTTTAACAAGCAAGGGAGCAGAAGAGCTCTGAACTAAATGAAAGAAGCTGGCCTTGAAGGGATGTGGAACTCGATTTCTCCCCCCATGCAGCAATTCCAAAACGGTTGATGTTTAAGTAAATCCTTCAGCTGTAATACCTCCAAAATAACACACATCAGAAAATAATTTCCTCCTTCCAGTAAGATAGTTAGCATTAAACATTAAGTGCATTTTAGCTTCAGTAGTTTCTGTCTTTATGACTACAACTGTGATTACAGCATCCTGCTTCTCTCACTTCTCTCACTTCTCCGTAAGAAACTGGAAAGGAATTTTTTTAGGAAAAATGATAAAAAGCATTTTTACACTTGTATCATCACGTTTGATCAAACGAGCAAATCTGTTTACATTTTTAAAAACCCAAATGCCTAATATTCTTGCTTTTTTAATGCCACATGTTGAATCAGGAAACCAGATTCTGACCATAGGCTAACCAGCAGACAGAAACATTTCTTCTGCACTAGAATTTAGCATTGTCAACTTCTGCAGTAAAAACATTTTTCTAGGAAAATTCAATAAAACCAAAACATTTTGCAGTAATTTATTGATAAAGACTTGAAGAGTTGGTGGCAGTGTTAACTACGGCCCATCAAAACTGTTTGAACACAGTACTGAACAATGCCAAAAAACCCAACTATAAATCACACCTAGATAAGAAATATATGAAGGTATATATAAAATAGTATTAACTCAAACAGGACCGATAAAAATAGTTCACTCGACAAGGCTAAAAATAATCAGTCATGACATGAGATGGGGTTCTTGGCACAGAGGGTGGCTCCTGCCTTAATAAGTCACTCCAAACATACACCTGTACTATGAAAAGATGGGAAATCATGTCATGCCTTCATGCCATGAAGCATAAAGATTACTTAGTCTTTGCAACTTCTAGACTAGTTTATTTCAATGCAGTTGTGATTTGTATTTGCTATTAATAAGCAGTTATTTTCCTATATCAGCTTACAAACTTTATGTAGCAGACTCCTAATTTCCATGCCAAATATTACTGTAGATTCCTCATTTCTTCTAAATAAATTTCTCAACTGATCGTGCTTATATTTCACTCTTTGCTGCATTGTCCAGCACTTCCATCGGGTTTTAGGAAGGCCTGAACTACAAGCTACCAATCCCAAAGTGTGCCTAAGTGTAAGTGCTGAATACCAAGCAAGTTAAAAGGTCCTCTGGAGAAGAACTTGCACTCTCCAGAAACATAAATGTTGAAAAACTATCAGGGCTTGCTGGCTTGCTTGCCTCCAGGAGAACTTTTTTTTCAGCCTGACTAGTACTGAATTAAAAAGTGAAATTTGGTATTACATACGTGAATACTGAATTATGGTCACCTTGAAAATACAAAAAACAAATTAAAACAAACTGATCCAGGAATTTATAGGAGTGAACTGAAAAGTAATCTTGTGTAATTGCCTGCATAAAAACTAAGAGCATGAAAAGAGGTGAATTCAGCCTGTAGACTGGAAATATTTCAAACAACGAGAGTCCCAAGGAACAGCACAGTATGTGACAATGACCTTGCAGCACTGCAGACATTTTCTAGGGCTTAAAATGTTTCTGTGTTCCTGTAAGCACTGATCTTCATGAAATCATACTAATGATATTCAGGCATATTTCAAGCCTATCATACCTCTGTTTACAGCTGCCACACTAGCACACACCTAGTCTTACTGCTGAAATATCTGTAATGCACAAGATAGCAAAATGCAATACTGACACTGGGAACAGGGTAAGACAGAGAATTCAACAGAATTACAGCAATAATTCCTAACTGTCTAAGTAGTGAGCCTTACTTAAGAAAATTGGCTGTTGTGCACCTCACCGAAACCAGTTCTGAATGAAGAGCACTTGAAGCCTCAGTTTTCCCCCTTCTGTGTAGACACCTGTTGTTTTGAGGCAATTTATCAGTAAAACACCTTTCCAGTGCAGTAATTTTCAAAGCTGACTCTCAGCCAAAGCTGTTCTGCTGAGTATAAGGCAGCTGTAACTGTAACTCTGAGTGCCCTGAAAGAAATGCACACAAGCATATGAGATACCCAAAATCTGATGCAACCCAAGATTATTTGACTTACTGCATGTGTGTTTATAATAGGACCTCAAATTAACCAAAGCTTCTGGACAGATTTCTGCCCAGGTCTTTTGCTTGCAAGTAACCCCAAAACACCAAAAGGGGGTTTAGATCTCAAAAGCCAGTTTTAAGCAGGAACATGTAACCCTTTTTGAGTACAGAAAATTCAAAACGACTCTACAAGACAGAGCCCAAGTAAAAACAATTTATAAACAAACCTCCTCCTACACACACAGTAGCTTTCCAGGCAGGTCCTTTCCCTCAGGTTTGGCTTTAGTTCCAACAATGCAGTGCCTCTCTGGGACTGAAAAAACCCCTGCACGCAGCATTTACGGCCATTTGGAAAAGTTTATCCTGCCCATCAAGCCAGCAGCCCAGCTAAATACCTGCTCCCTGCTCTCCTCAGCCCAAAGCAGCAGCAACCTCCCCTTCTCTTTGGAGGAACCAAGTCTTTTCCTCAACAAAGCCACGTGTCACGGCAACGGGAGCATGGAAGTGAAACGAGTCCTGTTCAAGATTACAGCCACTTTTTGGTGAACGTGCCCAGGACTCCTGGCCGGGTCAGAGCAACTACAACATCCCCAGTGGGGCTACCAGGAGCTGGCGTCATGGGCACGTGCCCAAAACCCACCAGGTTTTCGGGAGGGGCAGACACACCCCAGAAAACATGGATATAAGGCAGCCTCCACATACAAAATGTTTCAGTCCTTTTTCTGCTATCCCGAGCAACAGGATATAGTGTCCAGCCCATTCTGGACACTACAGTCCCTGTGCAGCCTGGGACGCCTTAAGGAGCTCTGTGCAGAGATGCTCAAAGGCACAGAGTGAGTGTTGAGGTGGCTGTATGGGGCGGGTTGGGCCCGGACAGTTCTTGTCTTAAGCCTATTTTTAAACAAGCCAAAAATATGGTGCAACGTGAAGATGAGAAAAACACAAGGCAGCCGCCAGATGCAGCAACAGTTGAAGGCAGGAGGGAAGAATGAATTCAAAACCTATTTTTTTCTTCCACAGTACAAAAGAAGAGAAATCAGAACATTTATCTTCAGACAGTTGTCCATTCAGGAGTTATACTGAGCACAGTGGGGAAGAACATGCAAATCTCCCTACACTCAGATGGAGACATACCTTCATTTTTCACTTAAAAGGCAGCCCGTGTCAGAATGAGAAAAATAAGCATTTAAAAAAGATAAACGAGTGATATTTTTAGTATTATTATAATAGGTGCTTAGATCATATGCTCTTTACTGTAGAATTAGGTGAAGATACTTCCCAAATTTATATGACTTACTTTAGTACTGCAGCATAAATTATAAAAATTATCTATATTCCTTCCTTAGGAATATAGATATAAAACTTCCCCTTAACTTCTGTGGGTAAAGGCTGATTTGCTACTTTTGAGTAATGAATAAAAAAAACTTTACTCAGGAGTATGTAATTCACAGGCAAATGATCCAAAGCAGCCACAAGCAGGAGCGGAGATGGCAGTGATTCCTCCCTCCCTGCCTTCCTCTCCTACCTCAGTTACCTACCAGCCAAAAGCAGCACTCGGTATGCGGACAGCTGGTGCTAATTCCCTTTTCCGCTTGGATAATGATAACCGGGACCCTAAGGCCAACCTAATGGATGCCTGTATTCTTTGGCAAGTTAATCACACAGTGTTACTACTGACGAATTAAATTTGAATATAGTAGATAATGCAGACAAGTAGTGGATATTAATCTGGCAATTTGTTTTGTGTTTTAGACCAGTATAAGAGCTAGGTAAAGCTGAGAGGCAGGTAAGTCAATCAGGTCATGAAGAGAATCCCACAAGAAAACTGCCCTTCTGTTACCAAAAGGGCAGTTCTTCCACAGGATATTGGTATTTCTTTAGCTTGTTTCCTACACTGCAAGGCAGCTGAATTAGCGATTAACCACTGTGGGCAGGCACTGTGATATATAAAGCGATTAAGAAAGCGACACACCATTCCATTAGAAGAGAGAGAAAGAATGAAGTGAATGAATGGTGGCAAATGATGGCCGTACTGAGGAGGTCAGACAAGCAGGATAACATGTCAAGATGCAGCTGAATTTAAATGCAACAGTCACTCGATAGGAAGCTGTCAGACCTCCCTGAATGTGCCTTACGGTGATGAGGGATCTTCAACTACTTAGTGGATGCATTTCTCGGGATGCAGTATCTCATCAGAGAGGATGTTTAGAACTGGAATGCACCGATCTCTACAACTGCCTGTTTATACTTTGATGGGGACAAAAGTATTGATACTTTTCAATGAACACAGTGAAGTAACAGTAGAAAGCAGAAATCAGTATTAAGGGTACCTGTGCAAAATCCGCCGCAAGCCGCATCTTCCCACCTTCACCGAGGGGCCTTATTAGACTGGCATTGCGAATGAAAACTTCAATTGCTCTTTGAGCCATGGCTTCAGTGTTATCAAAGACAAAGTCAAAACACTCAAAATGTCTGAAGTAGTCGCTCATGACTCTTGCTATAAAACCCTGTAGTTCTTTCATGTACAGAGAACAAGGGACATCTGGTTTTCCTGAGCTGGATAATGATCTGAAAAAAAAGAAAAGAAAAAAGAAATAGGGACAGCTAAATTCATCTTTAAAACACAACCAAAAACTATTGGATTCTTTTTAATTTTTTTCCTACCCCACAAAGTCATGGCATACATTGTGGAGTCTCATTTCTACTCAGAATAAAGAGTGTGTAGCGCTCTCTGAAACTGTAGTCAAAAAATATCTCTTTATTGGCCATTCCCATCCTAACAAGATAAAGGAAATCACCCCACTCCTACCAAACTTGCAGAGCCTCCACCAGTTTGGAGCCTAAACCTCATTTCCAGCCCCTAAATTTAAATGTCCCAGTTGTTGATTTGAAACACTAATAATGGATCAGAAAATACAAGTACATGTCACAGGGTTACTAGTTCAGCCTACCCCAAACCTGTTCTCTGTAGAGAATTAGTTTCCTAGATTCCTCCAAACACAGGATTATAAAGTCAATCTAATTATCACAGAAGCAGCACAGAAGCTACAGGGCACAGAAATCAATCACCTTTCTCTTTCTTTGAATCACAATCAGGCAAAAGAGCTCTTCCAAACTCAGGAACCTGAGCATACAGGCTACCTAACAAAACTTAGCCTTTGGCTGGAATCAGTTTATCCACCTAGAGAGGTATTTTGCTAGTGGTGGCAAAAGAAAGATGGAGAGGGTAAAATATTGTTTAAAAAAAAAAAGTCAAAAGGAAAATTTAAAACACCTCTGAAAATACACTATTTTCAGTGAGTTTCCAAGACAGAAAACAGTACATCTGATGATGATATAAGCAATGTCAGAACAGAGATAACAACCAAAATAACGCTCAGGAAGGAAGTCTCAATTACAGATAGGACTCAAGATCTTTGCAGATAAAGAATACTGGAAATTTTAATTAAAATGCTATGGGAAAATAGCATAATACACTAAATCTGAGCTTTCAATAAAAAAGATTTTTTGAACCATTTCATATTCAATAATACTTTAGAAAAATTTCTATGTAATTTTGAATCAGAGGTTATATGCTTTATTTTGAGAAACAAGAATATTGACAGTTCTGAAGACTGTCCACAAAAAATAATTCTGAAAGCAAAAGGGGTTTTTAAGCACAAAAATTGCCTCTGCTTGGCTTTATTTTTCTATTTAAAATGAATTTTACTCAACAGATAAGAAAAAAAAAAAAAAGGGGGAAGACAGAGGCTACCTGATTAATTTGTTTCAATAGATAGGTGTAATTCTGCTTTCTGTGTTCACTGACCATAAAGCATTGCCTTCCCCTCAACAAACAAGCGCTCTTGCTCCAAGGACATTGTGGCAATAACAATCTATTACGCGTATGCAGGACGTCTTACTAAAGCAATGGTAAATTTTAAAAATATTTCTAGTTACCCAGAAAAATCTTCTTGGTGCATAGTGATGATAATAGCTTCTACTGAATCTCCTACAGAGTTCAGTAACGGTTGAACAGCACTACCCATTAGATCATGGACTGCCTAAAATAGAATAAGAAAAAGGCAGAAGTAGGGAAATGGAAACTAGAAGCATTTGCATTTTGACACCTCAAAAACACCTTGACAAACAGTTCATTTCAACAGTGCTTTTTACTACTCTGCATTAGAAACTGCTAAATAGAAGGACAAAAGCCTAAGATAACGTTTTTCTTTAATTGATTTTACCAGTGAAGTACAGAAGTAAGGCTGTTTACTATTTCTATGTAAAGCCTTCCTTCAAAAGGTGCACAACAATCTGGCATTCCTGGTTTGTAAACGTACATGTTTTGGTGCACACACTTCGTTCAGCTGTTCATTCCCCAGACGTGCAAGCTGCCCTTCATTCCTCTGCACACAACCCCTCCCAGATTAGTGCACAGCAGGATGGATGTGGATAGCTGTCATCCACAGCGGGCTGCACAGCCATCCACATCGCCTCCCCAAAAAGCACCAGGTAGCAAAAAAATCATTATTTTATATGTGTGTTAAGGGAGCTAAGGGGGTGATGAAGGATCCAGTTATTGCTGTGTGAATGCTGCAGAGAAAGACATTTATTTTCACAGTCAGATGACATCTGGGTTCCGACCATTACGAGAATATTCTTGAATACAAACGCTACTCAAGCAGTGATTTGGCACATGCAACATATATGTAGCTGCAGATACAACAAAATATAAATTTCAGAATATAACACCTGGGAAAGTAAGTGCCCATTTTAAGTGTAACAAACAAAGCAAAGCTCAGCCCTATACCTGCAGCATATGGACATTCAGTTACCTTTAAGGCAGTTGTGACTGTTTGCTCAGCAGCTGCTGGAAATGAACTCTGATTGGTAATGACCTAAAAATTTTAAAGTAATTGTTAATAGTCAACATTCAACAAATTATTAGGATCCATAATATTTAATTTCATTTAGAAACATACTGAGTTATCCTTAGTAATGAGTAGTTTACATAGGTATAGATAACTATCAAATGTGTTTTATACAGACAGAATTTGCAATGCACCAGTATCGGTCCTTTGCTCTCAAATTTCCTATGGATTCTGCTTCTGCCTTGGCAAAGAAATGATTCAACTGAGTTCAACTGAAATTTAGCTAAAGGGTTAACAGAATCAGAATAAAAATAAGTGGTGTATTCTCCCACTGCTAAGTCCAGAATTTATGGAGAACTATACAAGCAGCTCTATGGCAAATATTTGAAAGAATGGTTGTTCTTTCTCACTATTATGACTATTATAATACTACATGTTAAATAGCTGTTTATGTACAGCTACAACGTTATCAGAATTGAAAGTCAAGAAATGATCTGAAGGAATATTATACCAATTTCCTTACAGTTATGAACATGCTATACAATAATATTTTTAAGCCAGATAAGTACTGAACTCAAAGACTGAATCATATCAGATCTCCCTCCAACACTAAGGCACATGAGGTTCATTACTAAACACATCAGAGAAAGCAGACTTAAAAGTTGATCTACCATCTGTTTGCAAAATCCAAGCAAATTTTATAGGCTTTTTAGCATTTTTTAACATTCTTTAAACATATCCACAGTCAGGATTACTCGTGATCTTTTTTCTAATCAGGCTAGGATTTAAACACGATTAACTACAACTACCACTATATCTGTTTGTTTTAATTTACAGAGACTGTGTAACCATTGGCATCAATAAGCCAGTAAATTGGAATTATTCATAACTGTGCTTAGTCCTGAAAACATTTCCAGGCCAGACTTTGGTCACAGCAACAATCCATGGAGATATTTGTGAGGTGCTGCTTTTCTTGATTTCACCCTTTCCTTCTCCTTTTCAGTTTGGCCGCAATCATGGGAAAGCAGTGAGGGTCTTCTGAGAAAGATAAGCTTGGGCTGGGACAGATGCAGACAAGGGCTATCAGGCTGACCAGTACAAAGACAGAGTTTACTTGATAAGAAAAACCAGAAAGAGTTCAATTGTTCAGGCTTACAAAACAACGGCCGTGAGACGTGATTATTCTCTATAAACACAGCTTTCACTCTTCTAATATTGACAACTTGTCACATAGAGGTGCTTAACAAGGGCCAGCCAAGTCTCAAAGAGTTGTACAAATGCATAGCGAGGTGCAGCTCTTAACCCAAAATTGGGCTGTATTTGTCACAGTTCTCATCAGCTAATGGGAGAATATGCATACGATAGAGCAAAGAAGTTAACATTATGGCAAGAAGAGAAATATCAAAGGAAGCCTACCTTCAGAACCGATTGGTGCAGTTTGTATAGAGAATTAACTACAGCCACGTTCCTCCTCTGTCCGTCTGTGAGTGGTCCAATCACCTGGCTGGCATCTCCTTGAGTAGACAGCTGCAGTGATTGCAGAAATTGTTAAAACAGTACCAACTCTTTAAACAATGCATCACCACAAAGGTATAGTTAACTAAACTTAGACCACTGCAGAAAGCCATAGGTCTTCAGTACCAATGTTCTTCCATTTAACTCTTGTCGTGATTCATATGATTTCCATCTCTAGATAATACAAACTGAGCAACAGGAACCGTGAAAGACTGCTGTCTCAGCTCCCAAACCACAGCACTCAGACCCAGACCTCTTGGAGATACCTAGTCCCAGCATAACTTCAACTTTGTAATCTAAGAGTCAGGTGAAGTCACCTACCCGAGGATGCAGTATAAACTAGCAGCAGCAGAACTGAAAAGCATATGCTTTTCTGTATACCCTCAGTCCTTACTTCTGACAACCATTCAAGCCTCTCCTTAAAAACTCTGTTTCTTCAAATAGATGGCTTACAGCTTTGTACATATTAGTGGCTTGTAAATGAACAGGAAAATAGAACTCCAAGGACCAAAACTGCTAGTCCTGTCAGTAAAGAGTTCTATCCATGAATCTTTCAGCAAAAATAAAAAAATTATTTCTTCATATTTAAACTCCACAAAGCATGCGTTTTTTATCATTATCACAGAAATCAAAGTTCCAGGATGATACATAAATAGCAAGTAACTACAGAACAGTCCCGTAAGGATACCACAGCATAAGTTTATAATTTAAAATAAAATCAATTGTAATTGGGAAACAAACAGAATTTTTCTTGTGCACTGAAAGCTGCAGAAATACAAAGAATTGACAAAAGGCTATGTGAATTCTAGAAGTACATCTAAATATTACAGCAAGAATAGCTATTAATAGAAGGCTTTATTGAGATATAACTATCTGATGAGTTCCTTATATTTCAGGATACAAAATTATCCTCCAGGAAACTCCTGAAGATGCCTAGCTCCAAAAGTCTCTCAGTAAAAATATATTCAACTCATTGAACAAGTCTTCAAGAGACTTTTATGAAGCGTGTCTTTAAACACAGTTGTAAGTCCTACAGAAAGCTCCTAAACTAAAACTGAATATACAGTAACAATTGTTTAAGAACAAAAGGAACAAACATAACGTGAAAATTTTTAAGTTATTGGAAACAGTGAACCTTTACTAGTGAAAGACTATTCCTGTACTTCCCGTTGCTTCCACTCAGCATAAACACAGACAGCATGCAAGCAACGTTATCTAGTATTTGCCAGCACTGCTAATGATGAAGTTTTAGACAAATTCTTGCAAGCGCACAGGAACTCAAAGTTATTCACAGCACTATGGTGACAATATCAGTTCAATTCCCTTTCTTCAAATTTAGGGATTATTTCAGGATAAACAGGTTTCTGAGGCCTTTGCAGAGGGAAAAATCTTTTCCAACGTATCTTCAATTATTTGACATCAGAATGCATCTTTAGACTAGCTGACAAACACATCATCTCAGCATCTTCCTGCCTTCCTGATGAGAACAGCCATGTGAGCTATGTACATCTCTCTTTCCTTCCTGATATTTCTATTTGACAGACCTGACTGGTTTTAAGAATTCTGCTTCTCATGCTTACAGCTTCACAGATTAATAACAAAACAGCTGTGCAGAGAAACACCCTGTCCACCCAGCTGACCACCCTCCCAGACCCCAATAACCTTTTTCTTCACACCTTTTTTAAGCACTACACAGACTATTTGATTGTTTTTTTGCACATTTACAACTATTAAACATAAAAGACACTACTAAGTAAAATTTCACATCCTAGTCACTTAAATTTCAGTTCCTCAGAGTCTATTGTAAAGGTTTCACAATTTCTTTTTCTTAGGCATTATGAAATCATTAGACTATATGTCTCTTCTGCTGGTGAAAAAGCTTAACTGGTAAGTAAACCCAGTAACAAGTACAAAATACACCCTGCTGCAGCAACAAGCAACTCTTGCAGTCAGCAATAATGCACAACAGCTTCACAGGCAAAGTCTAAAAATGTTTTAAAAGCAACCAATCTTTCTAAAATTGTTTACCATATTAAATTCCCTTAAATTAATCAATTTGAACTTTGACCGCTAGATGTGTTGATCTGTTGTGTATCGTAAAATAAAATCACCGGTCTAAAACAAAGAGGCTTGGAAAACTCGGCTCTTGTAATGAGCGGTAGGAACTGGGCAGCCTAGGGCTCCCTAGGACCGCTTCTCCTGAAGGTGTGCCATGGGGACACCTGGCACCTACATGGGTAGCTGTGCCCTACCATCTACAGCAGACGTCTCAGGTGGTCGTTCCCATCTCTTGCTGTCACCACAATGATTTCTACGACCTTGCCTTGAGGCAAGAAGGTTCTGCGCTGACTCTGTGCAACATGGTTCATGTACATACACTTTGTCACTGGCATGTATCTGAATTTCAGGTAGTTTATCATTATTCCAATATTCCAATGCCTCAGACTGAATTCTTGACACCTCTAATACCCATTGTACAATCACGCATCCAGGTAGGAAAATGCCATCATTGTGTCTCCCCGGTTCCAACAAACCACGCTTGTGGCCCATTTACTTTAGAAACAAATCATCCCTCAATTTATTTTCCATCATACCAGGTTTTACCAATGATTCACATTCATCACTCATTTATATAGCAAGTACTTTTGAAGTTCTGTGCTGGACACAGCTTATGCATTTAAGCCCAGTGGTAATGTAACTCTCCCTCTGTTATCTGCCCACTGGGGATTGCACTGTGTAAACAGGTTAAGTTAAATAAGTGTGAAGCCTAGCCACATCCACTCAGCGGAAAGACACGGTCCAAGGGCCTTCTTTTTGATGAGGGCACTAGAGACAAAATCTGATGCCTTTTTAATCAGTTAGATTTATCCAGAAATGCAGGTGGCCAGGAGGGTGAATTTATGCTAAGCAGAAATAGGGAGGACAGAAGGGGTGACTTCATCCCAAATCAGAATCTATTTTGGGAAAGAAGCAACCAAAAGACAAAGCGTAGCTGAAGGACCAGATCCCATCTCCAGGGAACCATCAGTCACCCTGGGAGTTAGTCTGGCTTGAGCCTGCTAGCTGAAAAGAAAACAGAGGAAAAGAAACCATGCTGAAGCCAGACCTGAATGAGCAGTAACGAGGACTGTAACTGTTCAACTTTTCTGTATCTGTCTTTAACTACAGCAATTGATTTCTTATCCTCTTCACTTTACTTGGGTAAACTGTTTCTGCTTTTACCTCAAGGCCTGTCTACTATTTACAGCAATTTCATGGGCACTAGCAAAGCACAGGCACCCCATTCCCCAGCAAGTGGCAATTCTACAATGAGTGACACGTCAGTATGAGCTCCCTTTGCCAACATGAGCTACCAGCACAGTGGCAACATGAGATGCTAGTGAGGAAGAGAGGAGTGAGGCAGAGAAGTCTCCCACCAGCAAATATTACCCAGGACTTTCGTATCATGCATCCAGGCACTAGGACAAGGGCTGTGTCTTGTGGTACCCTCAAGAATGTGAATGTGAGCTTCCGCCCCATGCACCATTTCAAGAAAACTCAAAGGGCACCTGTTAAACTAAAATGAGAAAGAAACACTGAAGGTACTACGTTTCTGACATGTATACGAGGACATTCTCTAAGGTAGGAGATTGAAATTTGCATGTTCAATCCAGCAGCTGACTAGCTGGAGGAAGCTGCCTAGAAGACTTTTTTTTTTAAATCTAATTCAACAGAATCTGAGGACTAAGTAGGAGATCGGGTAATTTATTGAACCAAAAAGGACACTTGTAGAAGCTGATACACAAAAAATGCGTCACGAAGAGGAACAAGCTGACTGAAGGCCATCTGACTTGCTTTAGCCTGACATGGTCGAGAAACCGTAAGCCATGACTGGCATTGTGCTCTCTCCAAATTCAGAAGTCCTTCTGGAAAATAGTTTCTTTTAGTTTGTATCCTTCAGTACACTAACGTGGTTACACTGCTTCACCTGCAGAGATTGCAGGTGCCTTGTATTGGGTCAGTAAGTCGCCCAATGCAGAAAATTTCAGGAATGATTCACCACACGCAGGAAACCACAAAGTAGACGAATAAGCACTTCTATTGAGTAATTCATCTAGCCTATTTTAGAGACCCTGCTTTAGGGAGAGAGTAAATGCACCCTGTATGCACCTATTTCCCTCCACTAACTATAAAGGGAATCTAAAGCAGTACCGCAGATACATGCAGGTAGCTATACTGCCTGAAGTCATGTCAGATGAATTCTCACCCTATAAATGTATTTGCACCCCTTTGCATAGACCCGCTTTGGAAATGTGTCTTGGAAATAACTAGATCAAGTGTTCCGGATTTTGCACTTTTCTATGTTTAATACCTAAGAACAGACATGTAATTTGACAGCATGGATTTGATCTCGCATGTTGAGACATGTGCTATGATAAGATTGGTTTGGGTTTAAATTCTTGTTTTCACCATGAAGCAATGAATGTAAAATTTAGATTAGGACGTGAATCAAATCATCAGTTCTCCCTCGGGTTATAAAAAAACGCTAACCGAGTTTGTCTTTTTCGTGTAGAAAAGCTCAGACTATTGATACATCTTTTCCTGAAATTTGTTTAGTGTTTCAAAGTGACTAACTTCCCCTCTTTCAACAGGTGGCAGCTCAGAAGAGATGCTGATTTGTGAGCTGGTTTGCTACCATTCCCTTCACAGACTAAACATTTTGTGAAAAAGCTCAGTTTCACACTAAGTAACTAAGATCTTGTGAGCATCCTTATTGACAGTTTTGGAAAACTCCATTTATTTGATTTCTTTACTCTAAAACAGACTCAGCAAACCCACTCTCTGAAGAGCAGGAAACAGCATCATAATTTAGGAGTACAGAGAAGATCTTAAGTCAAAATAGGACAAAAGTAGTGCCTCTCAACAAAGCATTTGATCTAACTCTAGGATCACCAGACTAATGTGTTTTGATAGCACAAGTTAAACTCCAATTGTCAAGCTGGCATTTTCGAGAATAAATACATTCCTAATAG